GAGAGAGAGAGAGAGAGAGAGAGAGAGAGAGAGAGAGAGAGAGAGAGTGAGTGTGTGTGTGTGTGTGTGGTCTATGAGTGTGCGTCTGCATTTCTTCCTCTGTATTTGGATTCCATGTGGTAGTCCGATGGTAAACACAGTAACTACCAATGAGAGGATGGCAATAGTGTGTCTGAGAGCAATTCAAAACCGTATTACAAAATAATGACAAAAAGATGCATTTTAAAGCCATGAGTTAGTTGACTGATTTTGCAAACATTGATATCAATAGCAATGTGTGATCGTTTATGTGCAGTTTCGATCCGTTGACTTTAAATTATATGAACAAATTCATATTTTTCACTAAAGGCAATTTATCAAAAGAGTTACCGCTTATTGGAAGATGATTGGACATCTTGTCCGCTGTGCAATCAAAGCACGCATCCCCTTTATGTGCATCGCTTCACTCCTGCCAAAGTACTGCAGCCCATGGGCGAAGAGATGAATCCATAATGATGGAACGCCAGACTAGTTTTCATTCATCTGGACATTTTGCTAATAGTAATTGAATTAACTGGCAATAGGCAATATGCTGAGGACGGATATTTGGCCTTGTATCTTGTATTGTTGGGACTCAGAGTATTTGTTTACATTTTACCATTTTAGCCCTTTTTCTCATGACCAGCACTTTCTTTTATCCCGTCACATGTTGAAGATAACTGTAGTTTTCTACCATTGACAACCAAAGAGCTCCAGTAGAGAAGTTCGGAGTGCCATTGCAGTTTGCTTAGGTAATCGTGTGTGTTATTCATTTACTTTCTCCTTTGAAAATTGTCCTGACCCATCTGTGTTTTCATATTACTCAGCTTACATCACAAATCTGCGTCTCTAACCTCGAGGCTACCCCCCCATCCATCCGAGTCCATCATCATAGCTCACCATCTGTCCCCCTCCTTATCTCTCTGTATGCATGTAACAGCTGATGAGGTCACGGGATGGAAGAGTAGTAATGACATCATTGGAATGTAAAGATTTCTCTTCTCCTCTGTGTGACGTGCACGATAGATCGGATTCATTTGGCTGGCACACCAAAAATGCTTGGATATAGCTTATGTGTGTGTGTGTGTTTTGTGCGTGTGTGTGTAGCAGTGAGCGCCAGTTATGTGTTAGCGTAGAATAGATAACCAGGATGTGTGCTGTAGTGCATTCGCCATTTGCTTTGCGATGACCTGCGACCTCAGGGATGTGCACGGACCCAGACACAATGCAGTTTAGGAAACCCCTCCATCAGAAACACATGTTGATATGAATCTGTTAAGCTCGTCGGTGCTCGTGTTCAACATCCTGACACGGACGTCAACATCCTAACAGAGCCGACAGACTGACGATGTGATGAGAAGACAGAGAGGGCTGTTACATCCCAGACTTGATTTTGTACAGAATGTACACTATTTAAAATAGGCTATATTCTAACTAAAAAGGCTTGAGACGCAGAAACGTTTGTACCTTTTCCCGGTCCAGCCAAAGTATTTGTCACACACATAATAATGAGTTGCCTCTGTTTTCTGTGGTGCCTTTCATGAGGGAGGTCAGAGGTCAGGGTCAGCTGCAGAATGGCAGCCCGGAACCTGGAAGGGATGCTGTGTTTTACATGAAGCAAAGTTTCAGCAAAGTCAATGCAGGTCTAATATTTCTTTTTAAATCTACTTTCCTGAACTTCTACTTGGCCCCATATAAAGTTTTATTTATGAGCGGTTATCAAATAACAACAAATGTTTTTGCTGTACTATACTATGACTTTTTAATGACATACTACATAAATCCACATTAAACACACCAGGGCTTCATCTAATGATTTTATGACTATTAATTACTTTTTTTAAATCATACCACACTATGAATTTATTATGACATGTTATGGCATACTTTGCCGTTACTTTTTACCATTTCTTTATGACTTTTATATGACATTTTATAATACTATATTATGACTTTTAAACAATTATTTTATGTCATACTAAACAATGACTGTTAATGACATTTTTACTACACTATGACTTTATTATACTATATTATGACATTTTAATAACTTTTTTTACGTCACACACACATACTCTGTAAAGGCAAATCATGGAGATATTCATCTCTATGTTCTAATCTAACATTGTCACATTGAACACCTATATAATATAATATAATATAACATTTTATGGCACACTATACTATGAATTTTTACTACATTGTATGACTTACTTTATTACGACTTTCTATGACATTTTCTATGACATACTCAGATTTGTTATGACCTCCATAAGAGACTGATCTTCAGCCCGGGGTTAATGGTGGTTCAAATAGTACATTTGCTCTCTGCTGCATAGAAAAACAAGTTCATTTTTAAGAGATGTGGGTAACATAAGACATAAGATGTGTGTGTTTTGATATCATATGACAAACAGTAACGGGAGAACGTTTTTTTGCAGCAAAGCATCTGCGAACGTCTGTTTGGCTCTTTGGTTAACAGCCAACACATAATTAAATCACATTAATATGGTCGCGATAAAAAGGGGATTGAACATCAACAATCCCTCCTGTGGACAAAATACCTGCAACATGGCAAGGATTAAGGATAAGACACGCAGAGAGGGTAGAAATCAAGTCAGATTCTGCAAAATTCTGCAAAACATGTGTCACAAGAGAAAAGACAAAGATAACATACTCCCCACTGCCAAGCTTGCGTGTTGAAACTTGATTAACTGTAATCACGATCACATCATAATAAGCCAGCCACAGTGTCCGTCCTCTGTGCCCTCAGAAGAATGAGAAACTGGCCATGTTTCAACTAACACACCCTGAATGCTAAACATAGCAAAGCAACGTAATAACAAGCCATTATGTAGGTCATAAGTACGTGTATTTAATTTTCATTGTATACGATTACGGCACAGTAATTATAGGCCGTCAGTATCAGAATCCCGACAGTGTCTTCTCAGTGTTGTGATAGTGGATGTGTTGGATGAAATTTCCATTAACCATTGTTGTAAAAAGTAAAAGATAAATGCAAGTCAGTGAACATCAGGATTATCTCAGGATTATTATGTATTAATATATCAATATCATCAGGCACCTCTGACCTTGTTTAGGGTAGAGTGTGATGTCATGCTCACATGATAACTCAATAAATACGCAAGCGTGGGCACGCGCACACACACACACACACATAATTCAATCAATTTAAATGAGGCCACTCTGCTCGACTGTTACCCCCCCCCCCCTTCTCTTTCGCTCTCACTCACTCACTCCCCCTCTAGATCACAATCAAACTTTCCAAACAGGGTGAGATCTGATGACGAACCAGGACCGATACAGTGCAGTGTAGACGACAGGCAACAGAGTCTACACAGAGTGTTTCAGACGGGCAGACCAATGCACATCAACCATCAGGGCAACAGGCAAACTGACTAAATGAGGCACAGGGGGGGGGGGGGGGGGGGGGGGGGGGGGGAGAGAGAGGGAGAGGGAGAAATTTGGCGCTGCAGATGGTAGCAAACATGATGCTGCTAGCAAATACGGATGAGTGGAAAAATCAAAGCGACAGTCATACACATCTGATTTGATACAGTCATGTGAACACTCAGCTGCAGACAGGAGCACAGTTAAACAGGGAGGCTATTGACAGAAACATGGCCCAGTAAGTCTGTGTAAGTGCTTCTGGTGTGTGTGATTGAGGGCGGTCTAGAGAGTATTTGCCCGTGTGTGTGTGTGTGTGTGCATGTCCTCGCACACAGAGATGTACTGCAAGGAGTGCAGCGTTTTATACTGGGTCTATGCAGGCCGCAGAGATACCGGTTGTCTGCCGCTTAGATGCAAAATTTAGCTTTGACCAAGAAGGAAGATAGATCGGTTGATAGAAGAAGTCACACTGAACCCACAAGGGAAGCAGACTCTTGGTGGCTGTAGCGTGGAGGGCTAATGCTTGACGTTATTAAACTTTTCCATTTTAAAAACCTACACTAAGCAAAAACGACTTACAGTATACGTGAAGGTAATTATTCCGGATCCTCTTTTATTTCAGTGCCAGCTGAAGTCAATCAGAATCAGCTTTATTATTTATCAATTCAACCATGCACTTCTGAAGATGCTATGGTGCTATTGCACATACTTTGGTCACGCTTTACATGAATTGATTAAGAAGCAATTAATTACATCATTGAGCTGGGAATCCTGGAGGTGTTGTGTCTATAAGGAACTTTCAGGGTTACACTGGGTATTGTGTCATACTCACTGGAGCCAATTATTACAGCACCCTCACATCAACTGTAGGTGCACAGTTACGTCTGTCTCCCTCCCCCTCTCTCTGTGTCGCTGACTGATACGACTAAGCCTTTCTATTCCTAGCTCTGGATATTCCCCAGATTACTTTGTGTGTGTGTGTGTGTGTGTGTGTGTGTGTGTGTGTGTGTGTGTGT